ACTTATATGATAGACTGAAATCAGTAATTTCATTGTTTTTTGTCAAACTAGGAACAGAGAATTTTACTCAGGGATAAAAGAACCAATCAGACGAGCCTGCAGGGGTCAGAGGTCGACAAATCCAAGATGGTGGAGGTGGAGACGTCGGACCTTCGAGGCGCGGAACCTGTTCAAGGACTCCTTCAAGATTCTGAGGCAGCTGTACGAGGATGAGGAGCTGTGTGACACCATGCTCAAGGTTAGTTTGTGTGGTCTTGTTTGTTTGTTTGTTTGTTTGTTCCTGCGGCAGCTGTACGAGGACGAGGAGCTGTGTGACACCATGCTCAAGGTTAGTGTGTGTGGTCTTGTTTGTTTGTTTGTTTGTTTGTTCCTGTGGCAGCTGTACGAGGACGAGGAGCTGTGTAACACCATGCTCAAGGTTAGTAAATAAATGTTAGCCTCTGCCAGGCTTCGGGAGGCGGCTGGAAAGAGCAGAAATTGGTCAAATAGAGAGATAACATACGAGGGGAGTTGGTCTGCTAGAGAGTACATTTTGCCTCTTTTCAGGGAAGCCTGGTAGAGGCTAAATGTATGTGTGTGGTCTTTGTAACAGAAAACATTAAAGGAAAGTAAGGAACTACATGTACTAGTATATATACAAAGCAACAATGTGCAGGAGTAGGAGGTATGAAGCCTGACAGGCTTATCCTATGCCTCTCTGTATATAGCATCTATCTTCTCTGTCACAACAGGTGGAAGAACCATTTGCTGAATAAGAATAAGATCATTTTCACTTTCCCTTGCAGGTCGGGGAGAAGGGGATCCACTGCCACCGAGTTGTCCTGGCGGCCTGCTCTCCCTACTTCTTCTCCATGTTCACCTCAGGCATGGGGGAATGTTACCAGGACACGGTAAGGCTGGCTACCTGTACTTGTACATCTGTATCTGTGTCTGTATCTGTGACTGTTTCCAGGACATGGTAGTGAAACACTAACAGTACCCCTAAAAGCTCCTTAGCAGGCTCTACAACTGTGGAGCTTTTATAATGCACTTAAATGACGGCTCAGCACAAGAATCCAGGTACAAATGAAATGCCAAATTAAAGAAAAAAAGCACAAAATAAAAGCTAGAGGCCTAGTTTACCTGTGTCCATATCTATACCTGATTATAAGCAACTGGATCTTAGGTAGAGCAAAGAAAAAAAAACAGTTGAAAAAAGAAGACAGCTGGCTACTGGCCCTCTAACTCTAAGTCTAGCATTACAAAGACAACAATTTACCATTAATTAGACTAAAACAAATAACTGACAGCTGGTTAGTTATATTGTTTCTAATTGCTCAACAAACTTGTTCAGTGCTGATACATAACCCTCTGTACCTGAACATTTCCAGGTGACCATCAAGGACATAGACAGCTATGCTCTGGAGCAGATCGTACGGTTTGCGTACACCTCGAAGGTTGTCATGACGACGGAAAACGTGCAGTCGCTGCTGTACGCAGCCTGTCTGCTGCAGGTGGAGGTTCTGGCAAAGGCCTGCTGCGACTTCATGAAGGTAAAAACACAAATTATTGATCCTGATCAATCAAAATGCATCTGAATGAATCATTGCTGTAATCGTCATCCATTAATTGCAAATAATGTATCCATATATTATGTGATTTGTGTATCTTGTAAAATGATACAATTTACAGCAATGCATTTTGATGTATGGCATCTTTTTTCAGAGCTCCCATTTGTAGTTGATGAATGATAATGGTTTTCTGAAGATAGAGTTGAATCCAGGCTACAAACTCTTGAGCAGGAGGCCTAATTAGCCCCTGACAGCAAGAATTGTGTAACACAGTCTCAGATACATTATCTTGGTAGATTTCTTATTATTAAATGTGTCAGCTATTTGTATTGTTATTAGTAGTGTTGTTTAAATTTTCATTTTAGTGTCACTCAATGGAGGGGACTTTAAAAGCAATATTTATCACCCATTCCCCCCCTAACCTATTTATTGTGACATATGGAAAATTCTAAAAGACATTTGCCCTCCTGTCCAGGCCCACCTGCACCCAGCTAACTGCCTGGGGATCCGCATGTTTGCAGAGCAGCACAACCGCATGGAACTGATGAAATGTGCCGACAAGCACTCCTGTGATAATTTCTTAGACGTCATTCAACACGACGAGTTCCTACAGGTGAGACAAACTCGAGTTCCTACAGGTGAGACAAACTCGAGTTCCTACAGGTGAGACAAACTCGAGTTCCTACAGGTGAGACAAACACTCCTGCGACAACTTCTTAGACGTCATTCAACACGACGAGTTCCTACAGGTGCACGTGAGACTGTAAAGGTTTGTGTGTGTGTTGGGGAGTATAAAATAGTGGAGCCCATCCCTCTCCTTCCACTGCCTTTTACCTCCCAGACATAAGTCAGGTACTCATTTTACACCAGTGTGGAGTGAGGAAAGTTGTGCAAAGTGTCTTTTCCAAGGCCGCAATGCCTAGCCAGGAAGGCAAGTAATCAAACCCGTGGCCTCTCAATCTCCTGTCTACTTGCCTTAGTCACTGTGGATGTGTCATTCATTGACAGAAGAGCTGGTCTGATGAAAGTCATGTTGTCTTGTTGTGATGTTCCTCCCACAGGTGAGTGCGAGCCACCTGACCGCCATGATCAGCTCCTCGGACCTGAATGTGGACGCAGAAGAGCAGGTGTAGCAGCCTGGGTAAGGGGGTGAAGTCTGCCATCTCTGATATCCTTGTGTTCCTCCGACAGGTGAGTGCGAGCCACCTGACTGCCATGATCAGCTCCTCAGACCTGAACGTGGATGCGGAGGAGCAGGTGTACGAGGCCGTCATGAAGTGGGTGAAACACGACATCGCCACGAGGAAACAGCACGTTTCTGATATCTTCAGGTTTGTTTGTTTAGAATCTCTGTTAGTGATTCTCTGTAAAATTGTACACAAAGCTTCATTGAGTCCAAAATTGTTTTGCTTTGTTTCTTCAGTTCCAATACTGGACCAAATGGCTGTCACAAAAGTAATTGGTGCTGTAGTAAAAATTCTGTGGTGTATGTAGCAAGTGGCAGGAAAGAGCTGGAGAGACTGGTCACCACATATATATTACTGTGTTTGAGTAAGAATAAACAGTGCGGTAATTGGGCTAAATCTTGTGAAGGTAAACATTATGAACGGTAACATCTGCTTCTTGTTTCTTACTTTTTTCTTTTGTCACCAGACACGTACGTAAATGAGCTAAACGATGTGAAGGTAAACATTATGAAAGTTGTTTCTTATTTTCTTCCTTCCATCCCCAGACATGTGCATTACATTTCTTATTTCTCACTTTCTTCCATCCGTAGACATGTGCGTTTCCCGATGCTGCAGCCTTCGTTCCTGATGAGCGCTGTGGAGCAGGAGGAGATGCTGAGGAAGGACCACTCCTGCCGGGACCTCATCGACGAGGCCAAGAACTACCACCTCTCCCAGGCCAGCAAGGTGATGGGGCTGAAATACTCCATAAGGACACAGCCTAGGAAGAGCTGTGCAGGTCAGTACAACAACTCACTCATCCACTTTCTCACTCACTCATTCACTCACTCACTCAAAATAACTACCACCTCTCCCAGGCCAGCAAGGTGATGGGGCTGAAATACTCCATACGGACACAGCCGAGGAAGAGCTGCGCAGGTCAGTACAATAACTCACTCGCTTACTCTCTCTCTCTTTCTAATTCATTCACTCACACACTCACTCATTCAATCACTCACTCGTTCACTCACACAAGAACTACCACCTCTCCCAGGCCAGCAAAGTCATGGGGCTGAAATACTCCATACGCACGCAGCCGAGGAAGAGCTGTGCAGGTCAGTTTACTCTCTCATTCTCTCTCTGTCACTCTCTCTGTCACTCTCTCTGTCACTCTCTCTGTCACTCTCTCTCTCTCTCTCTCTCTCTCTCTCTCCTCTCTCTCTCTCTCTCTCTCTCTCTCTCTCTCTCTCTCTCTCTCTCTCTCTCTCTCTCTCACTCTCACTCACTCACTCACTCACTCACCCACTCCAGAACTACCACCTCTCCCAGGCCTGAAATATATATACTCTATAAGGACACAGCTGAAGAAGAGTTGTGCAGGTAAGTACAATAACTCACATTCACTCATTCACTTACTCGCTCACTCACTCATTCTCACTTGCTCACTCATTCACACACACACACACTCACTGTCACATACTCACTCTCTCACACACTCAGACACACACAAAGCTGCGCAGGTCCATTCACTCACTGAATTTTGTTGTGGAGGTAAAAAGCTTGGGTTGGGCTCACCCTTCCAATACCGTGCACTAGATAAAGTGAAATAAAAACCCACTGTCCCTATGGCCTTGGAAACGCTAAGGAACTACCTTTACCTTTTTTTACTATCTCTTCTATGTTCCCCCAGGTGTGCTGTTCAGTGTAGGGGGGAGGGGGGCGTCAGGCGACCCCTTCAAGAGCATCGAGGCGTACGACCTTCGTAACGACCGGTGGTTCCAGATTCCGGAGATGAGCACGAGAAGAAGACACGTAGGGGTCACATCGACCTTGGGTAAGTTTCACAGAGCTCGTCTACACATGCAGGTTAGCACAGATAAAAAAGAAATACCTACAGGGCTGTGTAGGTATTTCTGAGGTCTACATTTAGCTTTTTGAACTGGTGTAACTGCAGGCTGGCATGGATTGAATGATACAAAAGTTTCCTACTGTATTCATGTGTGTTGCCTTTCACATACCAGGGAAAATGCACATGCAAAGTCACCATGAAATTTACCATGAAGTATATTGAAAAGAATACAGTAAAATACATTCATTCAATGACAACAAAGAAATTCACGACGTATGTTGACTTTTATTTTTGTTCTACCTTGTAGTTGTAAACCGAGAAATTGTCCTCTAATTTTATGAATCTTGTTGCCTGTCCACTGCAGGTAAGCTGTATGCTATGGGCGGCCATGACGGAAGCGACCACCTCAACACTGTGGAGATGTACGACCCCCACATCAACAAGTGGACCATTCTGTCACCCATGGCAACCAAAAGGTAGGATCGTATTGTCTACTAGCATAATATCAACCATTTCACATGTATCTGCCACTCTGAAAAAAATTACTCTTAACAGATCTTCAGCACAACGTCTTCCAGTAAAATGCACTCCTTCATGTCTAAACTGCATACTTTTTAGTGCTGGATTATCAATCTGTTTTTCAGTGCAGGTATATGTCTCATGTTGGATAAAGGTGTATAATGGGTACCTGACTTCAGCTGGGGAGGTAAAAGGCTGCCGCCTTCCCCTAATATTCCCTGAACACATGTAGATCAGAAACCCACTACACCTACAGCCAGGAAAAGGCTATGGGTCGTCCTTTACCCACCTAATGCAATACATTGCCTTATTAAAAATTATATAAACCAACTGGTGCAGACATTTCTGTTATTTATTCAGTTTTACCCGCATTTAGTGGTAGATGACGAAGAACTGTACCTGTGTTTCAGGAGAGGCATCGCAGTGGCGAGCCTGGGAGGTCCCATTTACGCGGTGGGGGGGCTGGACGACAGTGCGTGTTTCCACACGGTCGAGCGGTACGACATCGAGTCCGACACGTGGAACTTCGTGGCAGCGATGAACACACCACGCGGTGGGGTAGGGGTGGCACCACTGCAGGTGGGGTGGTTTGTTTGTTTCGCACAACCAGATAAATTGCCTTATGCATTACACACTACTTTGATCGAAGCGTCTGGAAGTTATCTCCGAAATTTATCCAGTAGTAGAGTTTGAATTGTCTAAAGCATTGCACACTAGTTTTGTACAGCAAGTATGATCTTCTTCATTACTTGTGCAGAGTGAGGAGGAAATAGGTATAAAGTGCCTTTCCCAATGGCATAACAGTCTACAACCTAACCTGAAGACCTTGCTACTTTATTTGGTTGCTTGATTAACTTATCTCTGATCCTTCTTAAGTTGACATGACCTAAAGTCTTCCAAAGCTTTTGGTAAGCACTTTGTGTACAGAACCTATATATAAAATCTATATATCTTAAATGTCAGTTTTTGTCACAGATGAACTTGTATTCATATGTTTTCTATGTTCTCCTCCCTTCTATCTGCAGGGCTACCTGTATGCGATCGGTGGGAATGACGGAGTGGCGTCGCTGAACAGCTGTGAGCGTTACGACCCGCACCTGAACAAGTGGGTGGAGATATCGCCCATGATCAAGCGGAGGGCCGGGGCAGGGCTGGCCGTGCTCAACGGCTTTCTGTATGCTGTCGGTAAGGAGATGGATCAAGTATGTTCTCAAGAAGAAATCTGCTCACTGAAGGCATATATATCCCTGTCACAGCTTTGTGATTATTTTAACAGATAACAAGTATTGCAAGTATTCTGTACAGTTGTGTCAAGGTTTTAGGATCGGATCAGTCAAGGATTTAACGGAAAAGATGGTTTGAAATGCTTCATCTATAAACGATAATAACTTGAGATTGTGAGGTATGCGACTTGTTCAGTGTTCTACCTGTTAGAGATATCTTTTAGAGGTTATGGTGGCTGATTTTACAAATAGTTTTCATGCTTATCATTCTGAGAGGTTAACGAGCAGTTTAATGTTGGATTACATTGAAGGACAGAATTGGAGGGGAACTGGTCACCGTATTTATTATATACAATCATGTAACTTGTTTCTTTTTGTCCAGGTGGATTTGACGACAACGCTCCACTTGACTCGGTGGAGCGTTTTGACCCGTCTAAGAACGAGTGGGAGATGGTGGGCAGCATGTCGTGTTGCCGAGGCGGGGTTGGGGTGTCCGCGCTCGGAGGGAAGGTGTACGCCGTCGGCGGCCATGACGGCGGCTCCTACCTCAACTCGGTGGAGGCTTACGACCCAATCCTGGACAAGTGAGTACAGTAACTCATGTTACATAAACCTATGTTACACAGTCTTTCTCTGTCAAAAGCTGGTTGGGCCTCCTCTAACTGTGGAGGCTTACAACCCAATCCTGGACAAGTGAGTCATTTTGTTACAAAAACTTGCCTCTCACTGACTGTCATTTAACTGCTACTGACTGTCAAATGCTGGTTGGGCCTCTAACTCTGTGGAAACCTGTGACTCAATCCTGGACAAGTAAGTTATAACCATGTTACACTCACTCACTGTCAAAGGCTGGTTGGGCCTCCTCTAACTCTGTTACAAAAATGTTAAAAGTTCCCTTTTGTAAGTTAAGTTTCCTAGTTTCACTTGGCATGCATTACGTCAATAATTATTCTAGTAGTTAAATAAGCTAAATTCTGTCTTTGCTAGCTAAAACCTCATTTCATTCCTTTATCATGCAGCAATTGGGGCATTGGATCAGATTATGTAGCAAGTAGCAGGACAGAGAGGGGCTGGTCATCATGTATATGAATGTGTTACGTAAGAATAAACAGGGCAGTAGTTCGTGGGGCTAGACCACATTAGGTAAGCATAAGGTAAACATTAAACATGTCTTTCCTCCAGAGTTACTGGCAAGAGTTACCTTATTTTTCAGTCGTTTTCTAGTTGCTGAAATGTGCTCTTATCTTTTTTTGCCAGGTGGGGAGAGGTGAACAGCATAGGGATCTGTCGAGCCGGGGCGGGGGTGGCCACGTGTGACTGCACCGTGACGGAACTAAAGGACATCGGACAGATCAGCGTGGTCAGCTGTGTTTAGACATTCTGTTCGTTCGTTCGTTTGTTGGTTCCTTGGTTGGTTGGTTTGTTAGACATCCAGGAAGAGCATTATGTAATAGAAAATTAATGAAGCAACTGGACAAAATATCATATGTAACAGTTTCAGGTATCATCTACTATCTTTCATTAGTGACAGAAAAAGAGCATGAAGATAAGTTTGTTGGTTGGTTGGTTGGATTGTTCAACTGTTAAACCTTAAAACACACCTGGTTCTGTATGTTAAGTACAAGCTGGCATAAGATCAGACTGGCAGGTTGGGATATGCAGTCCTCAGCGTTTCTGTCTTGAATGGAAAAGTACTGTGAATACTTGGACTATTTTCAGTATTTTCCATTATTGCAGTTTTTGCAGTCACTTTGTGGCAAAGTCATCAAAGTAGCAATCTCATCGAAGTTGCAAACAAACACTGGCATTTTCGTACTAGTTTGCTAACTTCATCGTGCTGCTACATTTTGGTGTGGCAAACTGGAGCAAACTTACGTCCCAAGCATGTAGCAGACAGTGTTGAATACAGATACAACCTAACTTTGACCAGAATTTATACAGAACAAACTGTCTAAGACTGACACAGGGAATGAATGAATGTATTTGTGGATCTGTCTCACAAACAAAGCTGACCTGGACAAAGTGTCCAAAGTCACATAGGATGGTTGATGTTCATATTTGCAATAGCGTTGGTATAAAATCATGGCAGACAGTTTGACAAAGCTGTCCAAATTAACAAATTACAAGTTATGTTGTCATTTGTGTGTGAATATCAAGCTCATGACTTACATGTAGCAAAAATAGTAACTAAAGGTATATGACAGTAATTCAAAGGTGATGAAATGCATTTCCTTATGATGGATTATCTATGATATCAGAATTATTACAAATGAGAAAAAAGCTCTGCATGCTGGCTTTTTATGTACAAAGTTGACACTAAGATTACGAGAAAAAAAATGAAGACAAAATTAAATCTATAGTATATATATCTATGTGCCATGTAACAAAATTTTGTATATGGGAGTTGCTGTAATTATGTTGTTTATTTTCAACCAGGGTACAAGTATTATGATTTTATATGTTTGCAAATATGTTGTCAGGGTACCCAGAGAAGTTTCAGGGGTTTTTTTTTTTGTTTTTTTTTCTTTTACCTTCAAGTCTTGCAAGCTGCACAAATTGTACTCCAATGCATTGGGTACAATTAAGATGTGGCCCAAGAGAATCAAAGGAAAAACTGTATTTATGTCCTGCCTCTGAAATGTTGTCAATACTTTGTGTATGATATACATGTAATAGGATATGTAGTATTACTACAATACCTATTATAGAGTACACATATTTATATACACTCTGCACACTGTTGTAGCAGGTTTATTTATCTAAACTATGCTGCTGTATTGTATTAACGTTAAGGTATGCTGTGACAAGGCGATATACAGGAAAGTAATATCACATTTCTCATTACATAGGTGATATGAATTTTGCAGAAGACTGCAGTTGGATGGTCAAAAAGTTGATGCGCAAACTTTTTGTGTTGGAACGAAGTTTAAGCTCTTCACTATGTTATACGTGTAACTTGCAATTTTCATGTCGGTTGTGATCCTGATGTTGTCATTGCAAACAATCAGTATTGATATAAATATTGACAAATGTTAGACTAAACTACTAGGAGAAAGTATACTCCACCTTAATAGCAAGTACCATGGCATTAAAAGAGTTTTCGTTTTTAATTTTGCTTTCCTGGTTTTCCTCTGGCTTCAGAACATTTTCAAAGAAGACTTTGTGTGGCCATTGGCTGTCATCTCAAATCTGGACTCCTTCTCTTGCAGACGAAATTTTCTTCTTTGTCTCCCTTCTACAGGCACTTTCATGGTCGTTGTTTCGATGAACTCGTACTCTCCAGTCTTCCAGACATTGAAGCTTTTCAGTGTATGGTTTATATCTTCTAGCTCACATCAAGTTCTTTCCTTAGACAAAGTTCTTACACAGTGCAGTACAAACCCAGTACCAATACGCCAGGAGTCCAGTGCGTCACGGTAGGCATATATAGGCCAGCATCAAACGATCTTCAGCCGCGACAACAACACCTGGGCCTTTAAGGGACTCGACTATAGACCCTTGGGTACAGTCAATGAGAAAATAACCTCCAAGACTACCAAAAGTGAATATAACCCGGACTAACTTAAAGAAATGTTCCCAGTAGATAGGTGGTCACTATAGACAGAATTTGAGTGCATTCTAGTCAGACCAAGTACAGTTCACGCAACATATCGTCGGTCCAATACATCATGTAGGACATATACATGTATAAGCCAACGCCAGTCTAGTTTCCGCCGCGACTATAACACCAGGCGGGTGGATGTCGTGTTGTGCCCGATGGCATGCCGCAAATGTTAACATCAATGTAAAAATAATTTGCCGCTCATTAAAAGTATAAGCAAATGAGCAACACACAACCCAGGTTTTCCCTCCAGCGACCAGATTTTTAATTGCTAGCGGCATTTCACGATCGTTTTTTTCACTAAAACAAGTTCTGTCTTCAAAGTTTGAGTGCATCCTAGGACATTCTGTGTTGAAAGCTTCTTGGTACATTCTAGTCAGACGGCGTACAGTTCACCCAATACGTCGGCAGTACAACGTATCATGTAGGGCATATATAAGCCAACGCCAGCCTAACTTCAGCGGCGACTATAACACTTGGAGGGTGGATGTCGTGCTGGGCGGGGTGACACGCCGTCATGCCTCACACTTAAGGTGGGCAATGTTAGCATCAATGTTAACATCAATGTTAGCATCAATTTTAAAAATAAATTGCAGTCCAATGTATCATGTAGGACATATATAAGCTAACGCCAGCCTAACTTCAGCGGCGACTATGACACTAGGCGGGTGGATGTCGTGTTGTGCACGATGGCACGCCGTCATGCCCCACACGTCCAGGAACACGGCCCGGGTCGGGCTGAACACCTCCCGCTGGAGCCTGTCCAGGTCCTCGGACATCCAGTCGTCCGCCATGAGGTAGTTCCCCACGTGGGTCGGCGCCCACAGAGAGCTGAACGCCATGTTACCGGACTTGATCAGCACCAGGGTCGCCGGCTGCCGCTGTGGGGAGGACAAACAGGAGTGAAGAGCTTAACAAAAATGCCCCTGCAGTTCCAGAACAAGTCGCTTGAGGGACAAAACCTGGGTCGGCGCCCACAGAGAGCTGAACGCCATGTTACCGGACTTGATCAGCACCAGGGTTGCCGGATGCCGCTGTGGTGGAGGATAAACGGGAGGACAGAGTTTGAGGGACGAAACTTGCTATGCCAGTTTTGTTCGACACTTCTGTTCAAAACTATCTGCCAGACAGAAATCAAGATCATAGCATTTTAAGGACAAGAGAGAGCAGAAAGTTCTGCTGGTGTACCAAGGACATCTTGAAGGAGGTCCATAATTAATCTTTACCGTCGTCTTTTACTTACCTACTTACCTACCAAGTATCATTACAATCTAGGCATGCAGTAGTTGTATACAAGGGGGTGTTCAGGGAGCCTGAATTGATGGAGTTCTTTTTTGTTATTTGACTTCTTCAGTGGAACTTAAGTTAAAGCCAAGGTTGAAATGTTTCTTACCTGATGGAGTCTCAGGATGGCGTCGCGGATTGCTACGATGCGTTTCCGGTAGATGTGAATCGGCTCCATGAGGAAGTGGAACCAGATGGTGATGACGACGGCGACTTCCGGTCCGCCCTGCAGCCGGTCCAGCTCCTCGGAGATGTAAACCATCCGATGGTACCTGAGGGGGTCAAAGGAAGGAAAATCATTATTTGCTTTCATCATCTTTGAAATAAGTACATAATCATAATAAGAGACGGCTAAGGCAGAAATGGACAGCATATCATCTCACAGACCAACCACATTGGTTGGCAAGAGAAATATTATCACTGCATATTTTGATTATGAGAAACGTTTGCTACTCTGAAATCAGATTCTGGATATCTTTGATTCTTACTTCGGAAGGAAAAAGCAGTAGTGCCTCTTTGATTCTGTGGAGTACGAAGAAAGTGTCTGGGGGGCAAATCTACGTTATTAGATACGCGGAGACTACATGTATCTAGAACCGTGCTTGATACTAGCCCTTTCAGGTATAGAAATAGAACTAGAGTCACAGGAAAATCTACTTTCTTGGATACGTGGATACTACCATGCACTAATATCCAGAACCGTGCCTGAGCCAAACGCTATAGACCTATCAGACATAGACCTAGATAGTCACGGTTCTAGATACAGTAAATACTACAGCGACTGACTTGAACGGGTTTCCGTAGATGGGGAAGTTGTGGAACATCATGTGCAGGTGCGTGTCGGTGCTGTTGTGGTGCGACCCGCACGGCCCGATGTGGCAGTTCTGCATACCCGGCAGCAGCATCAAGCGCGTCAGGCCCAGGTAGCCGTTCAGGTGGTCAAACCACTGCCGTACTGTGGAGTCCTGAGAGAAGAAATAAAGCGGAAATGGTGCTCAGCAACTAAGATTGGTTACACAAGGCTATGAAGAGACGGAAGTTCAAAATTTTTAATCAAATTTTCAAAAACTAGTCGTATATAAAATCGCCATTGCATTGATTATAACGCAATTTAACTTCCGCATTCTGGGATTCAATTTCTATGCTCAATTGCACATGCATGGTTACCATTTATTACTTCTCAGTAAGAATCTAACTGCAACAAATTTTTACTTAGCAAAGAGAGTATACTTCGCTATAAGGAGCGGCGACTATAAGTAAGGTTGGCTATAAGTAAGAGTGAAAGTTTCCAACTTACCCCGTACATGTAGACGGACTTGTTGGTAAGGCACTTCATGACGGATTCTCGGTTGGGGAACTGTCTCGCGCGGCAGGCGTACGTGTACCAGTTGTCGTGCAGATAGAAACCGGCAGAGGGCGCTCGGCCTGGCTCACACTTCGGCAAGCCAGACATATCTGTAGAAAGTGCAACGAATGCATTGTGTTAGCGGTCTCAGAGACGCAGTTACCTTTGGCTTACAGATTGTGCACACTGGGGAATCAAGTTATATGCTGAAAACACTAGCGCATTACGAAATATATGACTTGACTTGACTTAGTCCTCTTCGCCCACTCGGGAGCATAGGGCCTCTGTCTCCAGCGTTTCCAGTTCTTCGCAATCTTCTTGGTCTCTTGCCACGTTGGCTCTCTCCAGGTCTTTCCTCACGCCTCTTCTCCAAGAGAGGCGGGGTCTGCCTCTGTGACGATTCCCCTGGGGATTCCAGTCTAGGGCTGTTCTTGTTGTGGACGTTGGCGGTTTTCGCAGTGTGTGGCGAAATATATGAATCCTTACATTGTCACTGCCACTAGTGTACTAGTAGTATAACTCTTGTGACCGATATCTCATGCTGACAAATAACTGAGAGAACCGACCTTCCATGAACTCGAAGACGACGTCGCACCCCTCTGCGAGCCGTACAGGTGATCCGTCCAGCGGCACCTGCACGTCCAGGTGAGGGTGGAGACACCTGAGCGTCGCCACGTCTTGGATGGCGCGACTTTCTGTCCGCCTGAACTGCAACCCTCCAGACTCACAGTCCCTGTATGATACATCAGTTTTGGTTCGGATAACCGTTAAACCGCTTTTATAGGTATAACAAGTCAGTTTTGTACAGTAAGTGGCATCGGTGGTGCAACGGTTAGAGCGTTGGACTCGGAACTGAGAGGTCCCGGGTTCGATACTCACCGTGGCCCGACGTTGTGCCCTTGGGAAAGGCACTTTACATGACTTCCCCACCATGCACGGTGGAGTGACGCCCACCGAGCCTCTTAGGCTAATCTTTGTCAACATCAGCACATTTGCGACTGAGAGCCGTTAATTTGTTTTGCACAGTTAGTACAAGCTACGTAAGACCGGACTGTAAGGTTTAAACCATGCACTCACACTGCATGGGATAAGCCCTACTCTTTCTGATCAGTGTGGTGAGATCTGTAACGTATGGAAAACACGGGCCCCCCGCTTTGCATCTAAATCAGTTTTATCAACGCTAAAAGAAATACGATAGGACTGCACCATCGCATGAAGTGTTTGGTCTGTACCATGCAGATTCTTCCTCTTCTTCTTCTTCTGGCTGACTGAATAGTGCAGTACACTCAAACAAAATGGAAGTGGCTCCCCTCGAAACCTTTCCGACCTGATCTTTTTCTAGCTGGCTAATTTAATGGCCAAATCATTCCCTATTTTCTCCAACTTCTGCTCTGCTCTGCTTTCAGCCCTATATATGTGAAGCTTGGTACAATCGTAGTTTCTATGGTTACCTCAGAACGACGAGGCCGTTGTCTGTAGAGTTATCGTCTATCGCTCCGACGCAGAGCCCGCTGTCCACGTGGGCTATCTTCCCGTCATGCCTCAGCACGAACACCTGCCGGGCGCTGTCTGTGCAGGGCCACAGTACCACGCCGCGCCGCAAGGGGTCGCTGCCTTCCACATCCGGGTCCGTGGCGTACAGGCAGTTCCCGCTTCCGTGCCGAATTACACCTGTAAGGGATTGTTACAGATCGAACGCGTCAGGTGTCAGGTGTCAGACTTCACACTTTTATGGCATGTTAAGACCGCTATTTTGAATGAATACATTATCAGATGCTAACAACAACTGTACATTGTACATGTCAACCTGTACAAGTGACCATTACAGAAGACCTCTACCAGGCCATTGTGACTACTTTTTGATAGTCACTCAGACATTTTTCCCATTCACAGAAGCACCAACGTTAACAATCCTGTCTAAAGTAATCACTTGTTACAGCAGCGTCGACAAATGATACTCGAGAAGGCTGTTGCCATGGATGATGATAACTGATGGGCTGTGCATGTAAAACTGGATGCCCTGTGATACTTTGTTGTCACTTTAAATACTTACAAGGCACGCCTTGCTCCGTAACTTGCACCCAGAGAGTCGTTCCCTCCATGACTGCCTGATCAATGAACGTTCTGCACGGGAAAATAGAGCAGTTTGAACTTTTCATCACCGTAAAGGATAGATCTACCAACTTTTCGGTAAAAGTAAGTTGTGTTGTACTGTACAACTTTGCTAAGAATAGAGACAGTTGGCATTGGTTCTGTGGCATCTCGTGATATCTACGTTGCTCGGCCCATTGTTTCGAACTCTGTGGCATTCATGATTAAGATATGTTAGAGCTTGAATGCTAACACTCTAAATCAAGCCAAAACCTAATGTTTTTCAGTGAACGACGAAGAATATCTCAAGAAAAGCTCAATGACCGTTCAATAGACAATACATGCATTATACAAAATAAGGAAAGCTCACTCGTCAAAATATGGAAGGCAAAACAACTAGATAGCTTACTCATTGAACAGCATCTTGTCTGTCTCTGTGACGCCGATCTCCTCCAGCGGCCGCAGCCCTCCCCCACTGCACACGTCTATAGCCGAACATGGCGCCCTGACTGGCTTCTTGCAGTACCAATCGGTTCCGCTAGGGGCGTGCGAGAAGTTGCACTCCTCTTCCTGCGGGTCCCGGGACGGGGTTGTCCAACAGCGGGTCCACTCCGTACCATCGTCTGAAACACGTGGAAACATGGCTGCATTTTTGCTGAGGGTTCAAATAAAAGACATCAGCCGATAGCATTGATTTACCAACGTTGCCGACAAGACTGCTTTCTGTAAATGGGCCACTAACTAGCCTGTGCTGTGCTACACAATTATTTTACTGCCTGTCAGGAGCTGACTATCTAAGTAGGGACCTTCTTGGATATGAGAGAACCGAACTCGTGCCTGGTGCGAACCCTGACACATTCAGGAAAAGGCACGGTTCTGGATACATTTCTCTGGATACAGGTGAATTAGGTAGGCACGGTTGTGGATATGATAGAACTAGATAGGCACGGTTGTGGATATGATAGAACTAGATAGGCACGGTTCTGGATATGATAGAACTAGATAGGTACGGTTCTGGATATGATAGAACTAGATAGGCACGATTGTGGATATGATAGAACTAGATAGGCATGGTTCTGAATACTATAGTATATCGTGCACCGATACACAACACCTGTTACAGCAATGTTCAATCTAAAGCGCCCGGGAGACGAAAGGCATCCGTACCGTGTGGGAAACTGCAGGCGTTGACCCGCTTCCTCTCCACGTTCCTGAGCCTGCGCAGGACGTCCAGAGCCTCCCGCGGGTGGATGACGTGCACCTGTACGGCGGCCGTCCCGCTCCAGCCCGCCCGGAACCGCACCGTGTACGTGCCGTTAGCGTGGTCCGTGATTGCACCTGAGGAACAAATTAACTAAACAATTTAGAAAGGTAACATTTGCAAAACAATAATGTTTTATCTCTTGGTCCAGCTTAGCAAACTACTGCTCTGTTTACACTTACTCAAACACATCCATGGTGACCAGCCATCCAAGCTCTGTCCTGCCACTTGCTACATAATGTAACTCAACACCACAAGGGTTACTATTTTGACGGCCGTCTGGTCCAGGTTATTGACCTTATTTGTTTAGAGTACAAGAGAAAACGGAGCAAAAACCGTATTTTTCTCTGCAATACTGCTTTGTGCATATTGAGAAACGCAGGAACAACCAGATACTCACACGAAGCTTCTAGACTGCCTTAGACTAACACTAACAAAATTGCTTCACACACGTACCTGGAGTGCTTGCGGCCACGTCGTCAGAGATCATCCGAGCTTTTAGGTAGTCTCCTCCTCGTGTTTTCGGCCTGTTCATCTGGTCTCTAGTCTGCACCAGAACCACAACCTCCTCTCCTATTCTGTATACATCTTTGGGCTGTAGCAGCTCCACGGTGCTTAGTCTTCCACTGGTTAAACGTGACCGCATGGCATCAAACGGGCTCTGATGTGGGTCTGGAGTAGTGGGGGTGGTTCTGGTCACTTCAGGCAGTGGCTTTGTCCTTGTAGATGGTGTGTTTTCGTCTTTACCTGGCACACTTTCCTCCCTTAAGGTTGTTACAGACCTAACGGCATTCTCTGCTGCAACATCAGCAAGTTTGTTGTGTTCAGAGGGAGTCTGGACGCTTTGTGGAACAGCGGAAACACTTGTAGCTGAAGCAGATTGAAGAATAGACCTAGTTCTGTTCGTTCTGACTTCTTCAGCGGACATGGCATAAGGTCTCTGAGCACCTTCAGTAAATGGTTGTGCTCTTACTGTTGTTTGTTGGACAACCACTTGGGAAGGCTCATTCGAAGGCGATGGAGCTTGGATATGTTCACTTATTGCAGCAGCTGTAGTAGTAGATTCGCTTGGCGCGATTGAAGCGGACTTGTGAACATCAAGTGAAGCTTTCTGTGTAGATACTTCAGAGGGTCTATGTGTAGCTTTAGCGGAACCGTTGAGTTCTATAATATCTGCATGGTCTGTACGTTTAATAATAGCAGCAGTAGTAGTAGTAGAGGACGTAGTTTTATGTAGTTGCGCAACTGTTGCAACGTGTACATCTATTGCAGTAGACTCTTGTACATTCGCTTTGGAAGGTTCTTGCACGGTTGTAGCAGCATTGCCATCCACCACCTGAGCAAAGTTAAGTGTATCATCTATAGGAAATCTTTGTGTCTCTCTTGTTGCAGATCTTGGTACAGTTGCTACATGTGTAATGTCAGGTATAAGTGGGTTTTCTGCAACGTTTCCAGCAGAGTCTATTAGTAACCCTTCTGATGCAACTATCTCCTCTTTTGCAACATTTTCTGCTCCTGTTGCAGTTTTACGTGTAGAATGCGTAGCTGGCTTCTTCACAGTTACAACACGATTTTCATAGTCTACTGGTTTTACCACAGTGTGTATCTCAACGACCAGATGATCTGGAACAAACGTGCTGCGTTTTACAGGTGAAGTTAAGTCTCGTCCTGTGCCGTCTCTGGGAGCATTGTCTTCGGCTGCAGCGTTGAGAAGAGAACTGTGAGGAACGGTTGTACCGGAAAATTGTTCTTCCCTTGCGCCCGCTAAGGTGTATTCTTTTCGTGAAGGTGTGGAGACAGGCCTGCTTGCTCCACTTGGCTGTGTAGTCCCAGCGGTCTCTCTGCCATTGTCCAGCTGATCTGCTATCCCAATGTGCGCCTCTCCCCTCACCTCTGACAGTAGTGTCATCTGTTGGGTCTGGAACGGAACGAAAAGAAGTCAGAGTAATTTCTATTGATCAATAGCGTTACATACGCCAATGTAGACCACGTAGAATCGTTTTACAATCGCTTGCCATTCCTTGCCATTCCTAAGAACCGATTGATATACAGTTTAAACAGAGACCAGTGGCATGAACGTTCATCTGTGTGTGTGGTATAAAAGAACTATGTCTAAAAAGTCAGGAAGTCCTGTTTTTCTGTGGAAAATAATTGGATGTTTCTTAAAAGGCCATGATAATCTCGCATTATCAGGCTTCAGAGCAGCGTTTGCGACCATGATGTCCCTTAAGCACGTGTTGCTATGCTTGGTGCATAGTACTAAGTACTAAGCCTTCTCTCGCGCCTGGCAGACGAGATTATACTTTGGTCACAAAGTTCACCTGAGAAGCAGCGCAAACAACACGAACAGTAAACAGAGATTTCACGACAAATTGCGGTGAGGTTATGTAATCGAGCAAACACATTGAGGTAAGGATCAGCTGGATTAGTGTACGTAATCTCCAAGCGGATGTTGAAGGTGGTGGAGGATCACAACGTCTTCTGATTACCGGACGTGTCATAGACTGGTTTCTCTTAGTAGCTCCAAGGAGCGTATGTGGATATAAGCTCCTAGGTAGCACCCTTTCCCCAAATACTGTCACCTTTCTTGTTAAGATTTGCCCCTCCATCCGTCCACTTTATGCAGATCTAGGGGTGAGTGGCTGTCCCCGAATCCTGCCTATCACTATCAGAGAAACCTAGCAATCAGAGAACGCTACTGTCTTCTACCCAATATCTACTTGGAGATAAAGTGTACTCTATTGAACGGGTGACAGGGGTCTAGTGGTAGGTACCACACTTAAAGGTACAGTGGTGCCATGTGATACTATGTAAGCACAGGTCTTTTACCTTCTGGTTTTGCTTAGGCACTAAAAACGAAATATGGTATGTCGAGTTTCTTATTGTTTTGTTTAATCTCTAAACTAATGAAATACAATTTTTGCTAAGTTACAACAGTTGATTCAAATGATTTATGTATCCTACAGCCACCCGAATAGGCTTGTTGCGCCCGGCTGGGTAAATATGCTTGTATGAGCAGGATCCGTGTTTAACTCAAACAAACCTGAAGGCGTGATCGACCCTACCTAACACACGCCTTTGTCTACCTCGAGATGTTTACTCTAGAATCAAAGGACCGTGTTTGGGTGTGATGTTTGGGCTGACATAAATACAGCACATGGCGTTGCGAGAATCTGGAGAGATTGAATTATACTTTTCCATCGCTTGTTTAGTACATCATCTATACTGGATTGCAGTTGTAATCTAGATTTTGGCGCCAGGTTAACTTGCCTATGGTTCTTAGGTTACCCCGTGTCATTTTGAAGTAGCATATTGTAAATATGACACTATTGATGAATGTGAAGCTTAGCTGCTATGGGGATACTTTTGTTCAAGTAATTGAGTAATGATGCATGGTTCAGAGTAAGTTGAAGCTACAGTATGAGAAGTTTGATTGCCCCTGGTTTTATCGTTGCGATGTTTGTAAGTTGTACTGTTTACTTTCTTGATAAGGGCAATATTTGGCAGGCAAACCGACCTGGGGATCAGCCAAACAATCAGTGTGTATCTACAAAAACGTGCCAACTTCTAAAACATTATGAAATAAAGACTAAGCTGTAACTTCCAACACTTAGAGTACAGAATTGGGACTTACCTCAAATTTATTTCATAATGATTTATACCAACACAGATGAACTTTCATGCTAAGTTCTATAACATTAGGCCTACCACTAAAGAAAAAACCTTATCCTGCTAATTATATTACGCCCAACTGTTCTAATCACAACTTCTTAATTTCTCGCAATTCCTGGGGAAATCTGTTTTATCTCCACATATACTTCTCAACCGGTTGGCGTGTTTGCCTAGCCGAATTCAGCATAACGTAGACCCCCCCCCCCCAATTAAGCGTGCAATAGCTCAGATAAGCGTCATTCACCTTGCGATAGTAGAAGAAGATGGCGACCACTGCGAACACCAGGAGCAGCACCACCGCCCTCCGCTGCCTCGCCACTCCGCGCCTCATCTCACAGCTCAGTGGTCCTCAGGCACGGCAGCCCACGCTGTGCGCCTCTGCTGGTCTGCAAAATACCCTCTGCATTGCTACATCTCAAGATCTATCCAAGGCATTCCATTGCAAGGAAGGCCTTCGACAACGTCCCTAAGAACTTGTGTTTGGAGTAACGGGTTGTACATAAGAAAGAAGAAGCATTCATACCCCTTAAGAATGTTCTTAAGGATGTGTGCCACAAGAAGACAGCCAAGCGAGTGACTTTATGCCCCCTCAGGTAAACAGTATCTACTTCACCTGCCCCACACCTGACCCTTGCCCCAGCCCAGCTGTCACACTCATAGTAACCAGCCGAGGGTAACGGCAGGCCCACCTGGTAACCAGAGTCACGCAGATAGATATCCGGCACGTTGTTAAAAATCAGGACTCAACATATTGTATAGTAGGATTAGCTGTAGTCTCAAATTCCAGGGTTGTGATTGTGTTTATAGCAAAATCATACAGCGAAATCACTATTTGTAGGTAATCCAAACGTTATAGAGTCCCAGGACTGTTCGCGATGTGGACGAGATAAAGAAAAGTAACGAAACAGTTTGTCATTTCCTTCATAATTATCATATCAGACATAGAAAGTTATCACAATACTTACATGCTCTTCTCTTCATACCGCCTGGATATTTGTCAGCACAGTTGTGGATCATGCACAGGTCTGTATGAGCGCGGTCAAAGTAGTCGTAGGACGACGTCAGATTTCGATGTCAAAAAATGGTTAATCAGGCTGTGACCCAACTTACCACAGACAATATTCTAAGACAGCCTTTCAATAATAAGACAGCTGACTTTTGCAGGATTCATGCCGTCCGGTTTGCCTACGATCTTAGAATGGCTGTTACGGGACCCTAACTTTACAGGTGAGGACAGGTGTGTCCTGAAATAACTTCAATAGCCCTTGTCCTGCTGGCAATTTTTACATAATATTTTCAAATAATTTCATGTCTTAATCAGGTCACAGACCCTTGACTTTTTAGAAGAACGCCACATGGCGACAGTTTCAGCCTGGTAAACACAACTGGAGGGTCTGTGCCAATGGCAGATCATCTTGGCGGGACCTGTGCGTGACTGTAGCCGCTATGCATCAGACCGCGGATTATTGATTGGTAAACACAACGGCCGACAGCGAAATCCCATTGCCAGTTGTACGGGCCCGGAGAGAGCCGGGGAAACGTGTGGATGTGGCGACCCGGATGTGGGTCTGGTTAAACAGCTGTGCCTCGTGCACACGTGACGTGTCGGTCTCTTCTGGCAACGGCTTTCAGGTCGGTTAGCCTCTAACCAGGCCTGCCTGAGGGGGTATGGATGTTAGAATATGGGCAAAGAAAGTAGCCTTCACCAGGCCTGCCTAAGTCTAATGGGTTATGGATTGTAAAATAGCAGCAAAAATAGTAACGTCCTTCAGGCCTGCCCAATGGGTTCTGGATAGTAGAATATTGGCAAAAATGGTAGCCTCCACCAAGCCTGACTAAGAGGTTATGGATAGTAGAATATCTGTAAAAATAGCAGCCTCCACCAGGTCCGCCTGATGATGTATGGATGGTAGAATATTGGCAAAAATAATATCCTACGCCAGACCTTCCTGAGGGGTTATGGATAGTAGAATATCTGCAAACATAATAGCCTCCACCAGGCCTGCATAAGGGGTTATGGATAGTAGCATATTGTCAAAATAGTAGTCTCCACCAGGCCTGTCAGAGGGGTTATGTTTAGTAGCAAATCGGCATGAATAGTAACCTCTACCCAGGCCTGGTTATATATAGCATTTATAGTAGTGTAGTTTTTGTACACGCGAGGTCACAAGTTAATAAACAGGGTCAGGCAACATTTGTGGGCAAAGGAATGCAGATATTTCCCGGGTCATATTGACTAAGACATACTATGGTTCAAGTAATCATGTAAACACCTATAAAGAAATGACAAGAAGCACATGGCGCTGCTATATTATAGTTATATTATACTTACAAGTAGTCGACTAGTCATACTCCAAAATGCAAATTTCTAGAATGACGAACGAATTGCTGGTGGCCCGACATAAATCATTATCATGTCTGTGATGTTAGAAAAATAAGTTTCAAAATGGTCAGTCCACCCGTTATTTTAGATTGTTGAGCAATACAATGACTACTGTAGAGATGAACCGTAGTATCTCAATAGTTAACTCATCTTGAGTCGCAATTTGTAAAATATAAAACTAACGGCTTTACTCTAATTACGGAGGGCACTTTTACATAATCGAATGTTTTCCAGTACCTTTGCTATGTTGGGATGTGACATGTCGTCCCCATATATAACTTTCATCATAGCCACTGACTGTTCGTAATAACAAATGGCTTTACTGAGATCACCGACTGTGTGCCAACATGCTCCAATGTTGTTAAGTGATGAAGCAATGCTGGGATGTGGCGTTGTTTCACCATAGATAGCTGTAGTCATCTTTAGTGACTGTTCGTAATACCTGATAGCTTTCCTCTGATCGCCAAGGTCACTCCAACATTTACCAATGTTGTAAAGTAATGAAGCAATGCTGGGATGTGGCGCTGTTTCCCCATAGATAGCTTTCATCATCTTCAGTGATTGTTCGTGATAACTGATAGCTTTCCTGTTATCACCAAGGTCACTCCAACATCCCCCAATGTTGTTTAGTGATGAAGCAATGTCGGGATGTTCTGTTGTTTCGCTATAGATAGCTTTCCTCATCTTCAGTGACTGTTCGTAATAACTGATAGCTTTCCTGTTATCACCAAGGTCACTCCAACAGTTCCCAATGTTGTTTAGTAATGAAGCAATGTTGGGATGTGGGGTTGTTTCGCCATAGATAGTTTTCATTATTTTCAGTGACTGTTCGTGATAACTGATAGCTTTCCTCTGGTCGCCAAGGTCACTCCAACAGTTCCCAATGTTGTTTAGTGATGAAGCAATTTTGGGATGTGCCGTTGTTTTGCCATAGATAGCTTTCTGCATCTGCAGTGCCTGATCAAAATAACTGATAGCTTTCCTCTGATTGCCAAGGTTACTCCAACATGTCCCAATGTTGTTTAGTAATAAAGCAATGTCGGGATGTTGTGTTGTTTTGCCAACAGTAGCTTTCTTCATCTTCAGAGACTGTTCGAAATAACTGATAGCTTTCCTCTGATCACCAAGATCACTCCAACATTTACCAATGTTGTTAAGTAAAAATCCAGCAATGTTGCGATGTGGCGCTGTTTCACCATAGGTACCTTTTATCATCTCCAGTGCCTGTTCGAGATACCTAATAGCTTTCATCTTATCACCAAGGTCACTCCAACATGTCCCCAAGCTTCCAATTAGCAAGGCCACGTTTGGGTGTACCTTGTTATCTTCATAGATATTATTTCCAACCTTGATTGCCCGTTTGTAGTAGCTAATCGCTTTCTCACAATCACCGCGCTCTTGCAAGCAAAGTCCTAACTCAAAACATATGCCAAACTGTTTCCCCTCGTCACCGCCTGCCTCTTCCAGTGCTGTCTCCAAGTGACGTCTGGATGCGTCTAACTGCAACAGCCGTCCTGTTATTCTGCCCTTTGTTAGAGATGTGGTGTCAAAGATGGGTGTTGGGAATACCTTTGCTGTTGGATTTTCCTTTGCGACTGTATCCACAATACATCTTTTTAATGGAATGGCTGTATAGTAGTACCTGAACAACATTTTAGAGTCTGGTATGTAGAAAACTGTCTCAACGAAAGTGTCATCTACATCATGTTTGTCCAGTTGGACTTTCATCTCCGTGAGAGGAGACATTCTGTCCTTCTGTCCTCCATTGGCAATGTACGTTCTTAACCGTAGCTCCGCTGAGATGCTGATCAGTACAGTCAAGTGATGGGCATCTTCGTCACTGATCCGCTGTGTCTTGTGTAACTCTTCTATCATTCCCCACACACTGGGGATCGTGATACCACAGCAAATACTCAACACATCAACGGCCACGCTGGGAAAACGGTAGATTTCCTTCTTCACATCCAGAAGTTGCGCTGTTGGTTCAACCTTTTCTATTTGCCGAATATCATCCTTCAGTATCAGCATTGCTGACAGTCGCGACAGAACAGGGGAACGGTCTACGCTTTTCTTGACGATGCTTTTATACTCATCTACCAAAGACTCATCTCCTGTTAAGTAGGTCACCCGTCTGAGGATGTCTGAAAGGTGATAGCCCTCCGCCAGGGCGATGTGCAGATGCTGATATTCGGCCAGCTTGGCAGGAGTCTGGATGAGACTAACGGGAGGTTTGCTTTTGGTTTCGTCTCTTCCAAACGGAGTCTTAGAAGCCCATGGCATGAAGCCGTCGAAGGCGAAGCCGCGAGGTGTGACGGAGTCGTAGAACCAGTCTTTCTCTGGGTCTTCTGAGAGAAAGTCGTTGAGTGACGGGATGGCCATGGCTGGGAGGATGGTTTCCCCAAGGTTGATGACTTTTAGATGTAAGTAGTGTGTGAGATTTAGGAAGTACCTCCGTGTATCATCATCATCATCCTTCCTCTCCTCAATCAGAATGGCGAACTCCAGGTCGGAGTATGGCGTCACCTGTTCTGTGGCTTGTGACCCCAACCCGATGAAAGCGTACTTACAGGGAGGAGGTCCGAGTTTGGCGATGCATTCATCTGTCAGTACTTGGATAAACTCTCGTCTTCCAACTGTGATGCTCTTGAACAAGTTCTTGATTGCTTTAGCTCGTTTGATCTCTACCTCTCTCACGACGGGATCGTCTTCATCATACTGATACGGGTTGTGTTCCTGATGAATTGTTTCGAGCTGAGATTTTGCACAGGCGCGCGAGTTGTTCAGTTCCTTTCTGTGATCTAACGCGCTGCTATACGGGCACGGTTCACAGTCAAGGTTACAGGTGTTTCTAAGAAACTGTCTTTCTGTTTCTTGCAGTTTTGTTACCATGTTTTGTTTGTCTCCATCTGTTCTGGCCATGGAGGCGTTATACAGAGCTGCCGCCTGTGTGAATTTCCTACCTTCTCCTGT